AAGTCATTTGAAGATTATCGACTTTTCGAGGATGGTTACGTGGAATCTTTACTAATTTCTCATTTGAAACAAGAGGGAATTCATGTATACGTAGCCAATGTGCGCCCTTTTATGAAAGTAAAAACGGACGAGGGAAAGGAATACTACTGTCGCATACCCAGTGCAGCGGACACAGGGTGTTGTGCATTGGAGTTCGGGGAGTGTCAACCACAGGTAGGAATCGACAACACAAGTTGATTCAACAACGTTTAATGTTATCGTCTGACTATCATACAAGTGCGGTGAAAACTAAGGGCCTGTTTACATGGAGGTGGGGGACCCCAAGTAGGTGAGGTAACCCGCCTGTCCATATAATTTCATATTTTATTTTGATCATGTTTACATGATACATGGGGTGACCCGCCTAGGCGGGTTGCCCGGTCTGCCAGGTAGGGTAACCCTGTCAGCCGGGGTGACAGTTTGCCACGTAAACGTGTCAAGGTGGGGTAACCCGCCTAGCCGGGGTTGCATTCATGGCAAAAAGCTCAAAAGTGAAACATATATGTTTTAAATCTTCGTACATTTCCTGGCCGTCTCATGGCAGAAATCACCAGAAACCGCAACGGACACACTAGGAGTGTAAAATGTTCACATTTCAGAATATTTAGCGTGGTAAATCGACCATATTTGGTTTCCCAAACTATTCCGTATAACGTATTAAGTCAACGGTTCCTCGCAAAGCCAACACCGCGTAACACAACGCGTGATGCTTTCATGAATAAATACATATGTGTCAGAAAATTAATCTTTTGTCTTTTCCGAGATGTGAACTTGAGACGCCTTTGCTCAAACTCCTTAAGCGCAACAACAACCTCAAGGAGCCTCACCCCAGCACCCCGGGGTTGTAAGATTGCATGTAAAAGCGTTTATTTCTCGACCACGGCTAGGCGGGTTACCTCACCTACCTGGGGACCCCCACCTCCATGTAAACAGGCCCTAAAAAGGGGAGATTGCAATGTACAAGATTAAAAGTAGGCTGAGGCTAATTACAAAACAAGCGAAATCGAAAAGAAAAGGAAACTAAATACAATAGGCTGGAACTTACGTCTGATCTTGTCTATACGGGCTTAGAGAAACTGCAAAGTTACGTAACTGGAACAATCTTAAGAAACTCTGATTTATCTCCGTCGATCTTCTAACTACAACTGACTCGATACTTTAGGGGCGTACCACTATAAGGGTATAGCTCATGTGTACAATTGTAAACAGGTTTATCAGAAATGTTAGCCAAGTAGGTAATTCAAATTGTGAACAATAGTACAACAGGAAAATTGGGGCGTAAACTCGACGAAGAAACAAGACAGAAATGTTTTTCGACTTTAAATCAAAACAAAGTGATTACGTAATCAAAGTCTTCTTTGAATTTTTATTACAACTACGATTTCTGGTTTACTGTTGAGGGCTGTTAAACGATAAAAATAGAAATATATCTTGTCTAAAAACACTTGAAGGGTTTCTTACATGGACGTTAGAAAATGAATGGAAATAATATATTAGCATAAGCCATTCAGTAAACATTATAATA